GCACTGCCCGAGGGCCCGGGGTCAGTAGGGGGCCCCATGAGATGCCCCTGGTACCTTTTTCATAGGCTTTTTTGAGTTTGGGCAAGGACACAGGGGCCCCATGATCCCCTATTGCCCGGGGGCCCCATGAGTTGTCAGTCCGCCCCTGCTCAGTACTCCTCTCAGCCTTGATACAAGCCAGGGGCGGACTGACCATTTGGAAACTCGGGCACTGCCCGAGGGCCCGGGGTCAGTAGGGGGCCCCATTAGATGCCCCTGGTACCTTTTTCATAGGCTTTTTTGAGAGTTTGGGCAAGGACACAGGAGCCCCATGATCCTTTATTGCCCGGGGGGCCCCATGAGTTGTCACTCCGCCCCTGGTACAAGCAGTAGAAGAAGCCATACAAATATGTAAAAATGCTTTGCTGGGTGCAGCAGGCATTCCTAAGCTGCTTATGTGTGCATGCAGTCAGCCCTGGGCAATGCCTGATGTGATGCTGAGACTCCATGATTGAAAGAACTGAGATCCAATGAATGAAAGGGGTGGGTCAGGGACAGCCAGGCTGGGGAGGAAAGCGCTAGATGATGCTGGATGTCCTCCAGCAAGGAAATGAGATGAGGCAGCTTTGTCTAATTTTCTGCAGCTTCTAATGTACACTGTGAGAAGCTCACAGTGTGCAGTGAAATCAGAGTGCACAATATCAATACAGGAGAAGAGCCTGTACCACTGTGCAAGGCCGGATATCAGCTTCATAAATTGCTTCACTATCTGATTGACGCTCAATTGCAAATCAGTCTGAAGATGGAAAATGCTTCTGTTTGAAGGAAACTGAGTGGAAAATACACTCTGCAGTGAAGGTGTCTGTCACTGTATACAGTCACTGTGCAAACAGCTGCAGAGTCCTTCGTATGACACAAAACACAGAATGTTCTCTCATAGACACAGCTGATCTGTACAGTATATTTAGTGATGGGCCACAAATACGGCTGAAATATGTACATGTGAGCTGTCTTACCTGCCAAAGGATTCCTAATCCAGCACAGCCAGTCTGGGATCCAGGCAGACTGGCTAGCCGGGTCCAAGACCTCACTTTTCTCTAGGGCAGTTGAGCAATACAGCCTGGTCCAGGACCCCCCCCCTCCTGCAGAGTGCTGATTGGACAGTGGTAGAGCAGCAGCACACAGTGCAAAGCAAAAAGAGCCCCGCTCAGCTCACAGTGCCATCCCTCGCGGGTTTTCAGAAAGTGAATTTATTTTTATAAATCCATTGAATCATTCCATAAATACATAACTGGACTGAATATAAAATATATATATATATATATATAGCCAAATGTGTATTTGATTGCCACTGATCAGTTTAGACCCCCTGACATTTTCTTACATCTCTTGGTTTGTCAGGTTTGTACACTTGCTTTTCCCATGATTAGGGGTTCCCACCATTCCTGCACTGAGTTTCTTAGTGTGTACAACTCCTGTGTTCATTATGAGAGGCTTCCACCATCCCTGGGCTGTATCCCTAAAGTCCTAACACCTGATGTGCCCGTTGTGAGTGGTTCCTACCTTCCCTACACTGAGTTTTTGGATCAGTATGGCTCCTGTTCCCATTATGAAGAACTCCCAACTTCTCTGTGCTGAGCCCCGGGGTCTGTATACCTGCTGATGCCACTATGAGGTTCCCACCATCCCTGTGCCGATTTCCCGGGTCTGTACACCCACTGTTTCATATTATGAGAGGTTCCCTCCTTCCTTGTGCTGAGTTCCCAGGTCTGTACAGCTGCTGTTGCCATTATTAGAGGTTCCCACCACCATCCCTGTGCCGAGTTCCTGGGTCTGTACACCTGCTGTGCCCATTATGACAGGTCCCACCATTCCTGTGCCGAGTTCCTGGGGTCTCTACACCCGCTGTTCCCATTATGAGGGGTTTCCACCATCCCTGTGCCGAGTTCCCGGGTCTGTACACCTGCTATGCCCATTATGAGGAGTTTCCCACCATCCCTGTGCTGTGTTCCCAGGTCTGTACACCCATTGTGCCCATCTTGAGGTTCCCACCATCCCTGTGCTGAGTTCCTGGGTCTGTACACCCGCTGTGCCCATTATGAGGTTCCCACCATCCCTGTGCTGAGTTCCTGGGTCTGTACACCCGCTGTGCCCATTATGAGGTTTCACACCATCCCTGTGCTGAGTTCCTGGGTCTCTACACCCGCTGTTCCCATTATGAGGGGTTTCCACCATCCCTGTGCCGAGTTCCCGGATCTGTACACCTGCTATGCCCATTATGAGGAGTTCCCACCATCCCTGTGCTGTGTTCCCAGGTCTGTACACCCATTGTGCCCATCTTGAGGTTCCCACCATCCCTGTGCTGAGTTCCTGGGTCTGTACACCCGCTGTGCCCATTATGAGGTTCCCACCATCCCTGTGCTGAGTTCCTGGGTCTGTACACCCGCTGTGCCCATTATGAGGTTCCCACCATCCCTGTGCTGAGTTCCCAGGTCTGTACCCCGTGTGCCCATTATGAGGAGTTCCCACCATCCCTGTGCTGAGTTCCTAGGTCTGTACACCCGCTGTGTCCATTATGAGGTTCCCACCATCCCCGTGCTGAGTTCCCGGGTCTGTACACCCGCTGTGCCCATTATGAGGTTCCCACCATCCCTGTGCTGTGTTCCCAGGTCTGTACACCCGCTGTGCCCATTATGAGGTTCCCACCATCCATGTGCTGAGTTCCCAGGTCTGTACACCCGCTGTGCCCATTATGAGGTTCCCACCATTCCTGTGCTGAGTTCCCAGGTCTGTACCCCGCTGTGCCCATTATGAGGAGTTCCCACCATCTCCTGTGCTGAGTTCCGGGGTCTGTATGCCTGCTGTGCCCATTATGCGGGGTTCCCACCATCCCTGCAATGCCTCCACGACTCAATAGACTACCTTGTCTGGATTTTGCATCTTTCAGTGAGTTGCACATTAATAGTGAGGTCAGGCATTGCACCCTAATTACTAGTCCTTCCCTCTATCATGAATTCATTAATACCGGCTGCAGTCGCTTGACAGCGGTCCCTCGCCGTTGTGTCAAAGATGCTAGCGGAGATACTGATCTATTATGCAACATAGCTGCGTTTCAAGTGGAAATGCATGGCTGTGTAGAAGCCAGGCACAGCTGAGGGGATGGGGGGGGGGGGGGCGCTTTAGAACCTGATTACCGCTCCCTCCCTCCAGCACAAGAATGGTTAAAGACCAGAGCTAGCCTGCTGCGCACAAACAGCAACCGCCGTGCCACGCCGCCGGGGTTAACCCTTTCAGCAGACTTTCTGCGCAAGAAGGCAACAATAAGATGCTTGGGTTTCACCTCATTTAATACTTTGGACCGATTTGGAGGTTATGATGGGAACAACAAGAATACTTTCATCGAGGGTGAAATATTTTTACCCCCCCCCCATGATATTAAAGACTGAGCAAATCTAATAAATGCCAGAAAACCTTCCCTACTGTCAAACATTGAGGCTGATTTACTATGGGAGTTGAGAATCAATCACTCAAGTGATGATTGACTGCAATTATCCAATCACATGAAAAGCAAATTCCTATTTATTTATTTCATCCAAACAAACACGACTCCAATTTATTGGGTGGAGATTCTCAACTCCTTTAGTAAATCATCCCCAAAGTCTTCTATAAGTACCAGAGGGTGACTAGTGAGCACCTTCCCCCCCATAAAATCAAAGCCCCATTTTTACAAGTTTTTTTTTTTTTTTTTTTTTGGTGCATCTTGGAGGACCAAAAGCCCCCCTTAGCTGCTTCATACAAAAAAATGTATTGGGTGGAGATTCTCTACTCCTTTAGTAAATCATCCCAAAGTCTCCTATCTTCTATGAGTACCAGAGGGTGACTAGTGAGCACCTTCACCCCATAAAATCAAAGCCCCATTTTTACAAGTGCTTTTTTTTTTGGTGCATCTTGGAGGACCAAAAGCCCCCCTTAGCTGCTTCATACAAAAAAAATTATTGGGTGGAGATTCTCAACTCCTTTAGTAAATCATCCCCAAAGTCTCCTATCTTCTATGAGTACCAGAGGGTGACTAGTGAGCACCTTCACCCCATAAAATCAAAGCCCCATAAATTAAAGCCCCATTTTTACAAGTGCTTTTTTTTTGGTGCATCTTGGAGTATCAAAAGCCCCCCTTAGCTGCTTCATACAAAAAAATGTATTGGATGGAGAGTCTCAACTCCTTTAGTAAATCATCCCCAAAGTCTCCTATCTTCTAAGTTCCAGAGGGTGACTAGTGAGCACCTTCACCCCATAAAATCAAAGCCCCATTTTTACAAGTGGAGGATCAAAAGCCCCCATTAGCTGCTTCATACAAAAAAAAATGGCTATGACACAATGCCACCCACCCACCCACCGGCAGCAAATTTGTCTAAAAAGCCCTTTTTGCAAAACTCTGGAGGAAAACAAAGCACGATGGGTTAACACAACAATGTGCCGGAGCCCAAGTGAAGCTAACAATACTGACTTACAACAGCATAAACACGCTAATTTGTGAGCGCCGGAGCAAATAAACAGGCAGCTGTTGTTCCTAGCAACCAACCAGAACCCTTGCCTTGGGGGTTCACTATGGCAGGTCAAAAATTAAAAGATCAAATCTGAGTGGTTGCAAGGAGCAATAAAACTGCTGGGCCCGGCAGATTTCAACCCTTTAAATATAAATAAAACTACAAATATATATAAAAAAAATAAAATACATCAAGAAGCAGATACCTGACAAGAACGATGCAGAATGATGATTTTAGTAGTAAAATATATTTATAATTAAGCATTCATAGGTTCACTTACAGCTGCATGCCTTGCAAAAAGGAAAGGCACACTGCTTGGACTGAGTGCACAGTTTTCTCTGAACAACACAAGAGATAAGATGAAGGGTTGTTGGAGGAGATAGGGAGCCCCAAGAGTAAGAGGCATCCCGAATTTAGGGTATTAGTTTTTCTTTTTGTTTTTTGTTTTTTTTAGTTTGGGGTGCTGTCGGTGGGGAATCACACAATCCTTTTCCTCTCCCCCTTGCACAGAATCCGTTTGAAGGACCTCCTGAAGTCATGGTTGAAGATGGTGTAGATAACCGGGTTCAGGGAGCTGTTACAATAGCCAAACCAGAAAAAAAATTTGAAGAGTTTCTCAGGAACGTGGCAGCTCTTGCTGCAGATTGCAATGAGGGAGTAGGTGAAAAAGAAGGGGAACCAGCACACTACAAATACTCCAATGACCACGGCCAAAACAAAGGTGAACCTTTTCTCTCTGTTCTGCCTGCCCCTCCAACGGGAGGCTTTGGCACTTCGTTCCTCCTCTCTCCGAGGCAAGCTGTCCCCTGGTTTGATCTGGCTTAATTTGGTCTTCCCTTTGTTCCTAGGGGCCTTGTCTGCTCTCTTTTTGGAGGAATACTGCTCTTGGTCTTCAGGATGATCAGAAGAGGAAGAGTCCTCCAGGTCCATCCCATTGGCCTCTGGCTCCTGGTGTTGCTCCCCTCCTGACCCCCCGGCTTTCTCCCCATTGAGTTTCACTGGCAAGTCCTTGTCAGCGTAGCCATTGTGCCTTTTCTCAGCTTCGCCGTTGTTCCTTTTGTTGGGAGGGACCCTGGTTCTCTTCTTTGCTATCTGGTAGATCCTGATGTAGACCAGGATCATGATGACGCAAGGGGCAAAGAAGGAGCCGATGCAGGAGGAGATGATGTACCACTTTTCCTCGTTGATCTTGCACTTTGGCTCTTCTTCTTTGCCGCTCTCCTTCTCGATGGTGATGAGTGGAGGGAATGAAATCACGGCTGAGATCACCCACACGATAAAAACTATGATACATTTGATCCGTCGGGGGGTCCTCTTGAGGTTGTATTCGATGGCTTGGGTGATGGACCAGTAGCGGTCCAAGCTGATGGCACACAGGTGCACAATGGAGGAGGTGCAAAAGAGGACGTCCAAAGCCAAGTAAATCTCACACCACACCTTGCCGAAGTACCAGTAGCCCATCACCTCATTGGCCAAAGAGAAGGGCATGACCAGTGTGGCCACTAAAATGTCTGCTGAGGCCAAAGAGACCAGGAACAAGTTCTGAGGAGCTTTGAGAGCTCTGCTTGTAAACACTGCGATGACCACCAGGACATTGCCAAACACTGTGAAGAGCATGAGAATACCCACCAGGGAAATGAGTGCCAGTGTCACCTGCAAGGAGTATGGGGGTCCTCCTTCCTCAGTATTAGTCCCATTGTTCAGGGTGCCGTTGGCACAGTCCCCGAGGCACTCCATGGCAGAGATGCCCCCCCTTGCCGCTAGCGGGTTCTCAAAGTTAATCATGAAATATTAGTGTATGTTCCCCTGGGCTCAGCAGACTTGTTGGGGAGTGACATTGAACCAGACACAAGCGAGAGTTCTTAGCAGCAGCCTGGGTCGGCCATGTCCACCTCCTCCTCTGCACACCGGCTCCTTGCCTCTACTACTCCACACAGGTGTGACACATCGTTCCCTGCACCTCTCTCTCAGTCTTTGTTCTCCTCCCCCCACCTCTATTTGCTGAGTAACGTAGTCCAGATTCTTACCTGTCTGGACATCTGGATGAGCTGCACAACATGCCTGTAGCATCAAGGGTTAAAGGAAGGGTTTAGGAGACATGATGGGTCACCTAAGGGAGATCATTTTAATAAGAGTCATCTGGATTCCTAGTGTGACCACTCAGGTGTCCAGACAGAGGATGCAAGTCGTCTTTAAATAGGTAGCAGCAAGTCTTGTGTCCAGGTAGAAGAGGCTTCAAGTTCTGTGTACAGGTAGAGGTGGTAGGGAAAAAACAAATCTTTGTTCCAGTAAAGTCTTGTGTCCAGAGGGTTGATGTGTGCCCAGGGCTTCTCTCCAGAGCACCTAGATGCTGTCCAGTTTGGGTGCAATACTTGGATCCTGTGTCTGTTTATAGCTCAGTAGTGCAATAGTTGGGTGCCGTCTCTGCTCAGCCTGGGTGCTGTCTGGGTGCTGTCACTGGTTGTGATGTATGGGTGATGTCTTAACAAGAACTGGGTGCTGCCTCTGCTTGCTGTTGGATCAGGCACCGATCGAATGTGCTGTTTCTTCTTGATGTTGGTTTAAAACGCTGATCTTCGTGCTTTCTCTGCTTGCAGTTGGGTCAGAACAATGAACTGGGTGCTGCTGCTTCTTCTTCTTCTCGCCATCAGTTCAGAACACTGATCTGGGTGCTGTCTCTGCTTGCAGTTGGGTCAGAGCAATGAACTGGGTGCTTCTTCTTCTTCTCGCCATCAGTTCAGAACACTTATCTGGGTGCTGTCTCCGCTTGCTGTTGGATCAGAACACTGATCTGGGTACTGCTTCTCCTTGCAGTTGGGTCAGAACAGTGATCTGGATACTGCTTCTCCTTGCTGTTGGGTCAGAACAGTGATCTGGATACTGCTTCTCCTTGCTGTTGGGTCAGAACAATGATCCGGATACTACTTCTTTTTGCTGTTGGGTCAGAACAGTGATCTGGATACTACTTCTTTTTGCTGTTGGGTCAGAACAATGATCTAGATACTGCTTCTTTTTGCTGTTGGGTCGGAACAGTGATCTGGATACTTCTTCTTTTACTGTTGGGTCAGAACAGTGATCTTGTTGTCGTTTCTGCTTGCAGTTGGGTCAGAAGACTGATCTGGGTGCTGTTTCCTCTTGCAGTTAAGTCAGAACAGTGATTTGGATGCTGTCCCTGTGAATGAGAAGTATGTGGGTCCTGTGTCAGGCTGCAACTGCCCAGTGCAATCCTTGTGTCCCTGTTGGCAGACAGCAGCCGATGACTGTGCCTGTGTGAACAGATTCAGCTCCTGTTTGCTGTATGAGCTCCCAGCACTGGACTCATATATAGCAGCACAGTCAGTGCTAGAGCAGAGAACAGGCAACGTCACCCCCACGTGGGTATTTACCATCCCTACACCCTGCACACACCCTCAGCCTTCCACTGTTACAACTGCAGCCTGGAGACTGTGCACACGTCCCCCCCCCCCCCCCGGTCACTAACAGTCAAATCACACAATTTCCAGCGACCGTACTAATATCTAAAAAAAAGAGCCCCTGAAATTGTGAAATTCCCTAAAAAACAGAATACTGTCCGTGATACTTTTTTTTTTTTTTATTTACACTAATATTAAATTTTTAGAACAAGCTTTCAGGGTATTCACTTTTTTTTTGGTCTCAAGCAGTACACCCTGAACGCCTGTCCTGAAAATAAAAATATTTGTGCAATGAAAAAAAAAAAAAAAAAAAAAAGTATCACCATCAGTACTTGGTTGCTTTTGTTGCAAGAAATTCACAATACATGTTTTTTTATTTTTTTTTTATGCCTATTTTTACTGTTAATCCTCAGTGTAATGGCATTGTGTGCTTTATTTCTTCTAATTTTTTTTATTTCTATTTTTTTTTAATATCCCCTTAATGTCCATTTTTTACTACAAATTATCGTTGTTTTGCTCTTTTTTTTAATTGTCCACTACGTTATCATTGTGATATATACATATATATATATATATATATATATATATATATATATATATAAAATTTATTGTTATATTGTTAAATATAATTATCTTTTATTACCATTTTTTGCTCTTTTTATTTTTAATATCTTTTTTTAACACACATACAGTGGGGAGGGAAAGTTTGGGCACCCCAGCTAAAAATTTGTATTAATGTGCATAAAGAAGCCAAGGAAAGATGGAAAAATCTCCAAAAGGCATCAAATTACAGATTAGACATTCTTATAATATGTCAACAAAAGTTAGATTTTATTTCCATCATTTACACTTTCAAAATAACAGAAAACAAAAAAATGGCGTCTGCAAAAGTTTGGGCACCCTGCAGAGTTAATATCTTGTACTGCCCCCTTTGGCAAGTATCACAGCTTGTAAACGCTTTTTGTAGCCAGCCAAGAGTCTTTCAATTCTTGTTTGAGGTATCTTTGCCCATTCTTCCTTACAAAAGTCTTCCAGTTCTTTGAGATTTCTGGGCTGTCTGTCACGCACTGCTCTTTTAAGGTCTATCCATAGATTTTCAATTATGTTGAGGTCAGGAGATTATGAAGGCCATGGCAAAACCTTCAGTTTACGCCTCTTGATGTAATCCCCCGTGGATTTCGAGGTGTGTTTAGGATCATTATCCATTTGTAGAAGCCATCCTCTCTTTAACTTCAGCTTTTTCACAGATGGCATCAAGTTACCATCCAAAATTTGCTGAAATATTATTGAATCCATTTTTCCTTCTACTCGTGAGATGTTCCCTGTGCCACTGGCTGCAACACAACCCCAAAGCATGATTGATCCAACCCCATGCTTAACAGTTGGACAGAGGTTCTTTTCATTCAATTCTGTGCCCCTTCTTCTCCAAACGTACCTTTGTTCATTCCGGCCAAAAAGTTCAATTTTAACCTCATCGGTCCACAGAACTTGTTTCCAAAATGCATCAGGCTTGTCTATATGTTCATTTGCAAAGTTCAAACGATGATTTTTGTGGTGAGGACGTAGAAGAGGTTTTCTTCTGATGACTCTTCCATGAAGACCATATTTGTACAAGTATCTCTTTATAGTGGAATAGTGTACCACAACTCCAGTGTCTGCCAGATCTTTCTGGAGGGATCGTGCAGTCAAACGTGGGTTTTGAATTGTTTTTCTCACAATCCTGCGAGCTGTTCTGATATTTTTCTTGGTCTTCCAGATCTTGCTTTAACTTCCACTGTTCCTGATGACTGCCATTTCTTAATTACATTCCGAACAGAGGATATTGACATCTGAAAACGCTTTGCTATCTTCTTATAGCCTTCTCCAGCTTTGTGAGCGTCAAACTATTTTCAGTTTCAGTTTTCTAGACAACTGTTTAGAAGAACCCATGGTGCTGATTGTTGGGGCAAGGTCAGATGAGTCTGGGCATTTAAAACCTTTGAGATTGACATCACCTGGTCTTCCCAGACGATGATTGAGAACAATCCATGACACTGGCAGGTCTCAGCTTGGCAAAGGGGGCAGTGCATGCTATAAATTCTGCAGGGTGCCCAAACTTTTGCAGACGCCATTTTTTTGTTTTATGTTATTTTGAAAGTGTAAATGATGGAAATAAAATCTAACTTTTGTTGACATATTATAAGAATGTCTAATCTGTAATTTGATGCCTTTTGGAGATTTTTCTATCTTTCCTTGGCTTCTTTATGCACATTAATACAAATTTTTAGCTGGGGTGCCCAAACGTTCGATCCCCACTGTGTATATATATATATATATATATATATATATATATATATATAAAATGAATCGTTATTATATTGTTATATATAATTATTATCTTTTATTACCTTTTTTTGCTCTTTATATTTTTAATATCTTTTCTTAACACCTGGTTTATATTGCTAATTCTCATTCATTTTTTTAATTCTGTTGTTTGTTTTAATTTTTACTCCCCTTTTTTTTTTAACTATTATACTTCTATTTTTTAAAATGTCATTCTTTAGACCACACTCATTAATTATACCACTATAGAGCGCTATAAATAAATAAAGAAACTCTATACCATTCATAAATCGTAAATACAAATCTAAAAAGAAATTATAAATAATAAAAAGAAGTATAAATCATTTTCCCAAAGTTGAGTGATCATCAATCAGTAAAACAATACCATCTATTTTACTGATTGATCATCACTGTTCCTGTTGTTTTTATGGACCTATATGTGTTTTTTATGCACAGTTTATTAGTGGATAGGTGGTATTCATTTATACACTAACCATTTGTTTTACTGATTGATCATCACTATACAGTGCTTGGGATGATGGTTTATATTTCTTTGTATTATATTCATGAATTGAAAATGGTTTATTTATCTCTGTATATTGATATTATTCATTTTTAATATCCTTGTGACATTTTATTAAACTGGAAAATGAAGTCTTGCCAGAGCACCTTCGGCATTATTGGGAACATAATGGTCATTATGGTGATATAGTGAAGGTGTTTTTCACAGGTTGGTCCCCAGAGACTCTTATCAGGAGTAAAGGTCCCTGAGTCCTTGGCAGTCACGTTATGGCTCCGTTCACAGCTATGCAGTTTGATTTTTGTCCTTTTTGCAGTGCTTTTCGCAGTTTGTGTTGCGTTTTTCTACACATGTTTTTTTCT